ATGCTGAAAAACTTTTTAATACGCGGGATTTTACACAAACAAATTAAAAAACTAAAATATTATTGAGTTTTTATAATTGTAAAAAATTTCCTCAATGTCTCAATAGTTAAATAATTTATAATAAAATAAAACCAAAAAAAAAAAAAAAAAGAAAATAAAATACTCTCCCGTTTATTATTAATAATCATGTCATTCTACCACTTGTGTTTAATTAATCATAATTCTTTATCCTCTCCATTGTTTACCCCAAAATTTCCTCCACACGCTCATTCAAAGAAAGAGATCAACGCTATAAAATAAAATAAAATAAAATAAAATAAAAAAAATTCAATGTTTAATATCATAAGCTCTACCATATTTCTTAACAAAATAAAAATATTTTTCCGGGTCCCTGATTCCCAATCCATAAACCAATTAAATATTCAAACAAGCAAACTTTAAAAGCTGAGACATATAAAATGAAAGTTAAATAAGGGTAAAAAGTTAAAGAAAACTTTCGCTGAATAAACCTTGTCGAAACGATCGATCGATTTAAATAGTCTATTAATAACTCTTAATTCCAATCGTAAATCCTCAATTATAAATCATAAATTATCAATAATTAATTAAACATCACACGAGTTTTCAAAATAAAATCCGGTAATCCCTCAAAGATAACCAGATGAAATTGGTGTTTAAATTTGAAACGTGCCCTCGGGGTTAAAACGTTAAATCTAATCCTGCGATTTGATTCATCTCTAATCCGATCACAAACTACGTGCTTGATTGGAATAAACCTTTATTAAAAAATAATTTTAGTAAAATTATAAAAATTATAATTAAAACGAATGAATTAATAAAAGGGTAAAAGTTGAATTTAAAATGAGTCTCTCTCACCTGTTGCCGAAAGTGTATCTTCTGTTTGAATGGCTCTTTAAACCATTGGCTCAAAGTACCGACAAAAAAACTTTTTAAAAGCGGCTCATACGATAAATAATAACGATGAGCAGCACCAATTTGACGACTACAACAAAAAGTATCAAATGAAAGAAAAACAACAACAACAACAAGTGTGTCCGCGACGTGGTGATTGGTGAGGCCGGCGATCAACTGACTTGATTACGTTCGGGTGTTCTCGAGTAACGGGGGATGCATGTATAGGTAAATGAGAGCGGCGATATATATAAACACGAGAGAGTGAAAATGAGGAAGGTGAAGAAGGTGAACGTGAACGGAGAGGAAGCGTCGGGCACCACGAAAACGACTACCACGACAACGATCTTCCTGATGCGAGGAGGAAGAAACAATAATGTCGGTTGTCTCGGTGGTGAAGTGCTCCACCGGCGGTCCTGTTTACAGGATAACAGGAGAGGAACCTCTCTTCTCTTCTTTTTCTGGTTTCTCCAACTCCCACCAGCTTCTCGTGGCAGCTACTATGTGTTCTTCTCCTTCAGCCGTGGCGTTTGTCCCGGTATAGGTAATGATAAGAATCCATACGCAGGCGCAAGCTTGCCCAGGGTATAGGCCTGCTACTGCCTGCCTGGATATTATAGGTCTGGGCTGCAGGTAGCTCGTTTGGCTAGGGGCTAGGGGCTGTAACCCTCCTCCGCTCACCCTTGTCTTCGACCTGTGTGCTCAGTCATCTCGTTCTCTCTCCCGACTGGCAACTGATGTGGCTCTTGATGCCAACCAGTGTGCAAACTCTACCCCCGTAGGTCTACTCTCGCCTCTTTCGATGTACACTAATATCTAGCTTCCTCTCCTGACCGAGCTCTTTCCCTCTCGATTTTCCTAATTCCCCGTTAATTATTTGGGTCAAGGTTTCCTCTGCCCTTGGCATACACACCACTACCAGAGAGCTGCTAAATAACGCCGAGCTACGACGTAAATTAATAATCCTCTACGGAATTAATAATCCCGAGACGTCATCTTTCGGTTTAAGAATTTTTTTTAAAGATAATTCTTCGCTATTTATGGTGACAAAGGTTCGAATTTATTTGTTTTTATTGATACTTTTGTAGAGTATGCGACTAAAAGCTCAAGTTTGTTCAAACAATGTAGGTACATTTTAAATTAACGAGGCGTTTTTATCTTCAGGGAATAGTTGCAACTTTTTATGAGCTTACTAATATAAATGTTTATTTTGCATGAGTAATTCAGACAACATGAGTCACTTTTCAAATATTTGGATTTAAAGTAGAGTTATAGGGTAAGTGCGCCAAGAGATTTTTATAATAGAAAAAGAATTTGGGAATAATATTTTAAATAAATAACGAAATTTATTGCTTCTATTTTAATGCTTTTATTAAATTATTACTCGAAAGGAATATCCTTTACAAGGAGCGCTTTTGTAACCAACTGACTTAAACTCAATCAAAAAAGTGTAACAATCTTTCAGACTTAATAATAACAATAATAATTTTAATAAATCAAAGATAGTTAATATTACAAGCCAGAGTACCCGATCCAAATTGTTGGAGAATGACTAATTTTTCATTATTATTTGTTCACCATAATTTGAGGTCTCACATCATCAGAGAAAATTTAGGTGAACAATTAAAATTTGTTTTGACAATTATTATTAGAGAAAGATGTAATTTTTTATTCAGTGTAACTTTTTTCAGTGACTGAAAAAATAATTCGGACAGCCCGGACCAGGACTCGAATCTGGATTTTTTGGTTACGCGCCAAATGCTCTACCAGTTAAACTATCCGAGATCTGTCCGTAATTACTATTCAGTTAGAATAATAATAATAATAATAATAATAATAATAATAGTAAAACTTAACTATACTTATTTCTATAAGCATATAAAAAAATATCCTATATCATATAAACATTCGTTCCTTTAAATAGTATTCGATACCATGGAATGACGCATATTCCAATTTTTGAGTTTGAATAAAATGAAAGAATAATAAAAATAAAATTATGTAAAATCAAAATAAACTGATGAAAAATTAAAAAATGTAGTAGTAAAAATAAAAGTGAGTTTATTATTTTGAAAATGTGAACTAATATAATATAAAATCAATGAAACATGCAATGACAATAATTCTTTAGATATTTTTATTTCCTTTTTATTCTTTATCGGGTTTGCTGATGTGATAGTAATGGTAATGATAGTAATTTAGGAGTCTGATTTATCTGATATAAATTTTTGGACAGATAATGAGGCTCGATAAATTGTAACTTTGATCTTGGTGCCCGATTGAAGTTATTTTAAAGGAAAGCGGGTTACGCGACCCGGTTGAGCTGTGTCTCCTCGGGATACAGGCCAAGGTTGTAAAGAAAAATGGGGAGGATAGAACACCCGATCGACTGGTGTAGAATGCTCTGGGTTAAAAAGGGAAAAAGAAGATGAGTTGGTGTGGTACGAAGCTTAAGCCACTGTACTACTGGTCTACCTGAATAGAAGGCAAATGGAAAGAGAAGATGATAAAGACGATGATAGAAAGAAAAAGCCATGAGCCGTGGGCCGTGGGCAATGAGGGATGTCCTCGTCAATTTAACTTTGTGGACATCTAGCTTTTAGCTTTTTAGTATTCCCTGTGTAACTAAACTCCGGTGAAATATGTGTCGCTTTTAGTTTAATATTAAATTTATCTTCAGGTTCTTTGAAAAACGTCCCATGACTATCAGATCAAAAAATTTATACATTTGTAACTTCTCATAACATTTAAATGGATTTCTGCCATGTAGGTAGAAGTTTTATATTGAGGCTTTTACATTTGCAAGTCATTTGTTACGATTAGGCTTAGGGTTTTTAAATAAACATGTGGGATGTTTGTCGAGATTTTATGACGCGCTAACTGTTTGTGTAGGAAGTGCGAAGGAAGAGCTACATAAAAGGATACAAAAGACTGCTTTATTGGCGAGGAAAAGATCGTTTACGCAGTAGATAATAGCGGAACTTTCATAGTTGAGTTATGAGTTGTAGATAAGGATTATTTTACGACCACAAAGTTATTAATGGTAACTTTAACCACGATTTGGTTATACATTTGCTCAAAAAGAAGAAAATTATGTTGTAGATAATATTAGTCAAAAATATTCAAAGTACTGATCACAATAAAATAAAAAGGGTAAGTAGATTTTAATTTCTAACACACTTTTATTAGCTTTTACTATCATCAACGGTATCTATGTATGCAACTAAATCTTTAAACTCAAATTTCGGCTTCATCAAAACATCAAGTTAAATTAAAAAGTTGAACGCTATTATCAACGACCGATGACAATACAATAATTTAATAAGTTTGTCATCAGGATTAGCGATTCTTTTTATCCAAAGACACGACAGTATCTTGCGACAAGTACTATAAGGTGTGCATAGCTTAAAATTTATTGGTTCAAGAATTTTTCTCTTGAATCAAGATAATTTCTCACATCAGTATATATATTTTCAACATAATGATCCGCCAATTAATATCATAGCAATGATTACTAGAGAGAATCGATTTTTAAATTTTCAAGTCTAACTGTACATCACATGCAGTACATTAAATATTAACATCATATATGGTAATTAAAAGATACTATCTTCCGGTCCGACCTTCAGAAATGTAGCTTTAATGATATAGCTTCTAGTTAACGAACATAATTGTGTAAAGTGCAGTGGAAAACGTTTTATAAATGAGAATGTTTTCATAAATTTAACTTTTTAGATTTTATTACATATAAAACTTCAATTACACATTAAATACATATTCAAATTCATGAAATATTAATTTTAATAGCTAAAACAGAAAGTCTAATAAATATCAATTTTAGTAGGAAAATATAATCGTGGAAAATGCAGCATAACATGGTGTCTAAACGCGAAAATACTCATCAATATATTTTCCATTCACTCAGCAGACGTACGACAATTCACGGTTTGTTATTCGTTTTCAAAGTGCTTGGATTATCTCCATGGAAAGTTAGTGAATGCAAAATAGCAGATAAAAATAAGGATACTCAAGAAAACCTATTTGAATCATCAAACTATGGATCTGTGTATAATATTTTACTCATAATAATTTCATCTGGATATTGTGGAACGATAACAGAGTTGGGATTGTGGAAGGAAGAGTATATAGAATCAGAATTGGTCGATAAAATTGACATATGTTTAATGATTTATGGAACTTTGCTCATTGTTATTGTCTGGCTGAATTATATCTTGCAGCAGAAAAAAATCGTAACTATCGTAAACAAGTTGTACAGCATTTATTACAACTTGATGATTTGTAATAGATACACTTTCAAAAGTGACTATTGTTTGTATGTTTTCCCCCTAGTAAATTTCTTCCTGTGCGGGAGTTTGGTTATCGTTGATATGATAAAGTCTGGAATTTATATAACATCCATATGGGCTACACCGTTAATAATAAGCAGTTGGGTTTTGATGCAGTACACAATTCTGCTGAATATCATTTTTCAGCTGTTAAAATGTATGAGCACGAAAATTCTCGAACTCGGAGATATTGATATAGAAAATTACTATCGAACTGTTCTCCGGTCAAAAGTTTCACTCCGAGAATTTGTTATCAAGGATATTAATTTTGTCAAATATGCGGTTATGCAATTATGTGACATTTGTGATCAGATCGCGGACTTTTATGCGATTCCTCTACTGATGATTATTGTTTATACAATTACAAGAACAATATTCGATGTATATTATCTGATTGTCTCACTATTTTTGTTAGATGAATTCGAATTATTCAAACTTTACTTTTTTGTTGGCATATTGTGTTTGATCATAGGTTTCAATCTTATTGTTTTCACTTCAAATATCACCAGGATCACACGAGAAGTATGTTTAGATATTTATCAAGGAATTTATTTTAAGATACTAATGTTTTATATCATTTATGATTTATAGCATCAGAGAAGGCTTCATTTTCATGAAGTTTTCTTCCAAATATTATAACTACTATTATTATTATTATTATTATATTCTAATCGGTATCAGACGATGATACCGATTTTATCCATGATAAAAGGGTACAATACGGTAACAAGCTTATGTGTTGGTAATTTAATTATTTAAGATATTTTGTCCGGGATATTTTGTTGGATGATCAAGAATCATGAAACCATTCCAATCGATTTACTGAATCACGGATATTTGCATTAACTTTTATATAAATGATCGCGCTATAAGGCGTGTACTTTATAATTTTTCAAACTTTTTTCAGTTTTCAAAAATTCCACACTACATTTCATTGCTTCTAAATCGATGCGCCATGAATTCAACAACCAAAGAAGCAGTAAGTTATTTTTTGCCCTCCGGACGGAAAGTGGCAACTTTCGTCCCGCTGCGCTAAACAAAGTTGCCGCTTTCCGCCTTCGTCGAACAAAAAAATAGTGTACAGCCCTTGAAAAGTAAAAAAGAAAATCTCAGATCACATGTTTGTCGACCTCAGCTTCGCCTCGGCGAACAATTACATGTGATCTGAGGTTTTTCTTATTTTCCTTCCCAAGGGGTGTAATATACTATCTTTGATCAATACAGAAAAATATGATTATGTGTATTTATTTTTTATTGCAGCTACTGGATTTTTTGCGTGATACATCAAACCGAGATGTAAATTTTACAACTTATGGGATAATCACACTTAATGGAACTCTTTTGCAAACGGTAATTATCCTCCAATATATTAAGAACTATTTTAATCAATTTTTTTTTTTTTTTCTAGATTTTTGGAACCATGGTTACTTACTTAATTATTCTTGTCCAGTTTCGTAATTAACTTCAAAATCGCTTATTTATTAACAGTGTGCTGTAATAATTTGGAGTTACTTTTTTTCTCTAATTTATAGTATAATGTTATATAATTTTATTGAAAATAATGTAATGTAAAGTGAAAAATAAATTTTTTCTCTATTATTGGAATTAATATATTGTTTAAGAATTAGTTATATTATCTTATTTTTATGTTACAATATATATATAACACAAAAGTTTATTGAAAATTCACTATAATACTATATATACAGCAATAATAAAACCTCGAAAGAATCGATTTTTCAATTATTCAAGCTTAACAAATGCAATAACACATTAAATATTAACATCTCATATGGTAATTAAAAGATACAATCTCCTGGTTAGCCATTTAGAAATGTAACTTTAATGATATATCTTCCAGTTAACGAACATAATTGTGTAAAGTGCAGTCAAAACGTTTTATAAATGAAATTGTTTTCATAAATATCGCTCTCTAGATTTTATTACAAATAAAACTTTAACCGCACGTAATGAAATTAATAAAATATTATTTTCAATAGTTTATATGCATTGCATAGAATAGAATGTATATTTTTCCTCTCAGAAAGACTAAACAATATTTTTAATCGGAAAACATAGTCGTGCAAAATGCAGAAAAAACTGTTCTGTCAACCAGCAAATACTCGCAGAAGAGTTATTTTAAATTAACGTGTGAACGTATTATAATTTACGGTTCATTATTTGTTTTTAAAGTGCTCGGATTATTTCCGTGGAAATTTAATTTAGAGACAATATTAAAAGACAAAAATCAGAATAATAATCCAAAAAATTTGCTTGAAATTACGAAGTATGGATACTTGTACAACATTTTGCTGATAATCGTTTCACCAACATTCTGCGGAACGATAATAAAGTTGGGATTATGGGAAGAAAATTACATGGAATCAAATTTGGTGGATAAAATTGAAGTTTTTTTGATGTCCTTTGGAATTTCCCATCTCGTTGTTATTTGGCTGAATTATATTTGACACATCTTCAAAAATAATCGTCATTTGTTCATTATCTTCGTAGTACATTTCTCCCTGTGTTTCTTTGTTTTTGTCACTAAATTCTTCATTAACGACGTGTTTTCTGTAATTTTATGGTTAGTGCCGTTTTTCACAAGCAGTTGGATTTTGATGCAATATTTAGTTATTCTGAATGTAATTCTTCAATTATTCAAATGCATAAACGCCATAATTCTTCAACTTTGTAATATAAATATAGATGATTATTATCAAGCAGCATTTCCTTCAACAATTCCGCTTCAAGAGTTCGCTATGTTAATAAGGATATTGTTTGTGTAAATCATGCGACCATGCAATTATGTGACATTTGTGACCAGGTAGCGGATTTATATGCGATCCCAGTGCTGCTAATCCTTATTTATTTTATTACAACAACAACAACATTTAATGTGTATTATGGAATTGTGTCACTATTGTTTCAAACAGAGCCGGGTTTGGCGATGACTTACTGGGCTATAGGCGCATAGTTTTCGTTAGTAGCCTTCGATTTGGTGATCTTCACTTTTCACATCATCAAGATTACACGAGAAGTATGTTTTAATATTTATTCAAAAATTTTAATTTCAGTTTTTAGGTTTTGCACACACAGTAAAAAATTTTGCATCATTGCGTCAAAAAATTTAGTGTTAAAAATTTTTATGTTAAATATTTACCATTTTTTTGTATTGATTTAACAGAATAAATGTTAAATTAACACTTAAAAGTGCAAAATTTTTTACTGTGCAAATTGTGAGCAAGCCGTGCACTTTTCAACTTTCCAAAATTTTTTCAGTTTTCAAAAATTCCACACCATATTTGCTTGCTCCTTCATAGATGTTCAATGAATTCAACTACCAAAGAAGTAGTAAGTTGTTTAAAATTTTTTGAATTAACATAGAAAAGATTTTACCGTAATAAAAAGCGATTAACATACGAAGTAAAAATTATTAGAAAATTTTCACAGTGATATTGATGTTTTATTCAAGGTATCAATATTGGACTTTTTACGGGACATATCACATAGAAATATTAATTTTACTGCTTATGGAGTGATTACACTCGATGGATTTCTTCTACAAACGGTAATACTCCTATAACATATTAAGAACTATTTTAATCAATTTTCTTTTTTTCAGATTTTTGGAACCACGGTTACTTACCTAATTATTCTTGTCCAGTTTCATAATTAACAATTTAATAATTATTTATTATAATAATGCTGTGGTATTAATTGCATGAATTATGTGACATTTGTAATTAAATAGTAGACTTTTTTTAATTTATCCTCTTTCCTCAATTTATTAAGTAATTTTCATTGTATCATCATAATTATTAATAAAATTTGTAATTATTATATGAAAAAAACTCAAATTTTAATTTTTTCCTTGGCTCCTAAAATTAATATAAGTAATAGCCTATTTCTATCAAGGTTTGCAAAGCACATTTAAAATATATATTATACATTAAAAAATATTTCAAAAAAAAAAAAAAATTAAATACGCACATGCATTGAAAATAAATTACACAATTTTTTTGTTCGTACTGATCAATAGAGTTCAAGTTTATATCTAAATATTTTTTAGTATTGCAATACTAAAATTTCCTTCAATTTATCTAACTATGTGTTTATCATCACAAATCACCGATTCCAATCATTAATCAGTATAACTACAATATCATTAATAACCAATCAATATTCCCATTGGAGTAATTTATTGGAATAACAATAGTATTAAGTGCTATAATAAAAAAAATCAATTTTAATGATGAGATACAACATAAATAAATAAAATAAAAATGAGTCATAAATGATGATTAAAAAGTATTAAACATTTTTCCACTCTAAACCTCATTCTTGTTCTTGAATATAGTTCTGCAAAATGCAAAAAAAAATGTTTCATAAACGTAAAGACAGTCATAAGTATAACTTTAATTTATACTGCAAACATATTACAATTTACGGATTGTTATTAATTTTTAAATTGCTCGGAATATTGCCGTCAAGAGTAAATATATTAAAAATATTAATACCAAATCAGAATAATAATAATAATAATAAAGAAAGCCTCGCTGAAGTATCAAAATGTGGATCCTTGTACAATATTTTACTGATGATAATTTCACCTGTATACTGCGCAACAATAATAATAATGGGCCTGTGGAAAGAAGAGTACATTAATTCAGATTTGATCGACAAAATCGATGTATGTTTGATGTCATATGGATCATTGATTCTTGTTGTTACTTGGCTTAATTACATTATACAGCAGAAAAAAATTGTAAATATAATCAACAGACTCTACAGTATTAATAACAACTTAAAAAGTTGTAATACATACACTTTCAAAAGTGATTGTCGCATGCATGTTGTCTTTATGGTCCATTTTATTCTGTGCTTTGTTCTGTTTGTATGTGAACTATTCGTTCGGAAAATATACGCCGAAGTGTTGTGGTTCGCACCGTTCATCATAAGTAGTTGGGTTTTGATGCAGTACACACTTTTATTGATTATTATTTCTCAACTGTTTGAGAGTATTAATGTCAAAATAATTAAATTTGAGGATTTAAATCGTTACCAAACAATTAATTCTAAAGTTTTACGCCAAGAATTCGATATTAAGGACATTTATTGTATCAATAATGCGATTATGCAACTATGTGACGTTTGCAATCAGATCGCGGACTTTTATGCGATCCCAACATTGCTGATCATTGTTTATTTTATTACAACAACAACATACAGTATATATTATGTGATTTTGTCGGTATTTTTGTTAAAGGAGTCAGATTTTATGATTCTTTCTACGGTGATTGGCATATGGACTTTCATTACAGTCGTGGATATGGTGATTGTTACTTTAAATGTCACCAGAATCACTCGAGAAGTAAGTTTAAATATTCATCTAAGAAAAATTCTTCAAATTTTAGTTATTAGGAATTATTTAAACGAAATTGAATCTATTATGTCTAAAAATTTAATTAATATTATAGATATGAAAAAAACACTATTTTTCAGTTTTCAAAAATTCCGCATCATATTTGTTCGCTTCTTCATCGATATTCAATGAATTTTTCCATCAGAGAAGCAGTAAGCCAAAATTTTTGAATTATAAAACGAATTAATAATTAATGATGCTTGAATTTTACATCACACATATTTTATTCCAGCTATTGGATCTTTTACGTGATGTATCATACAGGGAAGTAAAATTTACAACTTACGGGGTGATCACACTCGATGGATCTCTTTTACAAACGGTAATAATCCTGTTAAGTCATTATTAGTGATCATTTTAATCAAATATTATTTTAATTTTATAGATTTTTGGAACCATGGTTACTTATCTAATTATTCTTGTCCAGTTTCATGATTAACATAATCATATGGTACAATAAAATCTCTTAAAACACCAATTCCAATTATTCATAAGTATAGTTAATAACTAATATCACTAATAACTGATTATTAATACCGCTGAAGCAATTCATTAGAATAAAAACAGCAGCAAGTGCTTTAAAACGAATGAGTAATTACATAAACTCATAAAATATTAATGTCATACATGATGATTGAAGGGTACAATCATTTGTCTACTCAGACACCCTTCGCGGCCTCATTTCTGTTACCAAACATAATCGTGCAAAATGCAGCAAAAATTATTCCGTAAACGTGGAAATACAAGTAATTACAATTTTAATTTACTATGCAAACGTATCATTTTTTATGGACTATTATCCGTTTTTAAATTTCTTGGATTATCACCTTGGAAAGTTAATTTGTGCAAAATATTAACGGAAAATCAAGATAATAATCAAGTGAATTTATTTAAAGCATCAAAATATGGAAGCTTTTACAACATTTTATTGGCAACCGTTTTATCTACTTACTGTGCAATGGTATTATCATTAAAATTAAGCTCGCAGAATTACGTGAAATCAGAATTGGTCGACAAGATCGATAAATGTCTGATCTCTTATGGAACTTTAGTTCTTGTTGTAATCTGGCTGAGTTATGTATTGCAGCAGAAAAAAATGGTAACTATCGTTAACGGATTATACAGCATTAATAACAATTTTAAAAGTTGTGATAAATTCACCTTAAAAAGTGATTGTCGGTTCTATATTCTTTCTATAATAAATTTTTGCCTGTGCTTCGGTATTATCGTGATTGAATGTTTCATTTCCGGAGCGTATACAGCTATTTTGTGGATTGTACCATTCATCACCAGTAGTTGGGTTTTGATACAATACACACTTCTATTGAATGTCATATCTCAATTTTTCGAAAGCATTAATGCCAAAATTCTTCAACTCGCCGATATAAATACAGAAAATTATTATCAAACAGCGCTTCGTTCAAAAGTTTCGCTAGGTGATTTGGCTATCAAGGATATCAATTGTATCAGTAATGCGATCATGCAATTATGTGACATTTGTGATCAGGTCGCGGATTTTTATGCGATTTCAATACTTCTGATTATTGTCTACTTTGTAACATCTACAACATTTAATTCATATTTTCTGATTTTATCACTAATCATTTCAACTAACAACGATTTGTTGAAACTTTTTTTGGACTTTGGAAATTGGTTCTTGATCGTATCCTTTGATTTGATTTCTCTTACTTCAAATGTCACCAGGATTACACGAGAAGTATGCTATGGGTGACACGATAATTGATCTCCGTAATTTTATCCCACCGTCAACTGATCCCCACCTCAACTCATGTCAAGCCCACAATTCAAATCCTGTTAAAAGGGCGCAACATGATTATGAGCATTTGTGTTGGCCTATTTTCGAGTATACGCACGTTTGTGTTGGTGCATGTTCAGTTAGGTTAAGTTGACGATGGGATCATTTGACGCAGGTATCAATATAATCCATGGTATGATTATTTGTGGTATCAGTTGTCGGGTAATCAAATTTCGGGGATCAATTATCATGGAACCTATGTTATGACATCCACTCAGAAAACGTTTCAAATTTTATTAACGAACGTTTTTTTAGTTTAAGAAAACTCCGCAGTATGTTTCTTTGCTTCTAAATCGATGCGCAATGAATTCACCTACTAGAGAATCAGTAAGTTATATTTTTTCTTTTATTATGATATTAGTTAATGATTTTGAACTTTGGTTTGCAGCTATTGGACTTCCTACTTGATCTATCTTACAGAAATGTCAATTTCAATGCTTACGGAGTGATTGCACTTAATGGTTCTCTTTTGCAAACGGTAACAACTGCATACAATCACTAATAAAAATCACTAATCAGATATGGTTCTCTTTTCAGATTTACGGAACTATTGTTACTTATCTAATTATTCTTATTCAGTTTCGTAACCAGCAATAAATTATCAATTGCTTTCTTGAGGTATCAATTCTATATAGATTTAATAAAAAATACATTTTTGCATTTATCCTAACAACTGTTATGTATAGTTTGTATTTTATAATTGTGCTTTTAATCAAATACTGTAATTAAGAGTTTTCGCCTATATTTCATCTCTAATTATATTTTATGATCTGATTATTTTAGCTAATAAACATCATCAAAACTAAAAGAGAAATAATACTTATCTCATCTCATTCTTACACAATTTTATTCTCAATAAGTTAAGAATAGAGCTTAGCCATCGCAAAAAATCAATTTGCTTGAGTGGTAATGGGAATGAATGGGCTATTAAAACGTCGCAGCAATAAAAAGTGAGCATTAATAGGTACATTTGAATTAAGTTACCCTGCATAAACATCCAACTGAACACAGTTTAAATTTTTCCAGTAATCGAAACAGATCGATCCACATACATACTTATTACGTCTTACTATTAGTATTATAATTAGAACCATTCATTTAAAGACGATGGAATTAAAGTTTTGCCGTAAATTTTTTAACATCCAACCATTTTGTGAACGTCTTATAATTTATAGTTACTTACTTTGTTTCAAAATATCGGGATTAGCACCCTTCGAAATAAAAATTTCATGCTTCTTCAATAACCATAACAAGCACGAGACTACTAATTTAACCGCGCCATGCAAAGTGTCAGATTATGCATTTATTCACAATGCATTATTAATAATATCCATGACGACATACTTCGTAGTGCTCTACTTATCTCCGTCTTGGGAAAAAATCTACATCCACTCGTGTACACTAGGTACAATCGGAAAAGGTCTAATTATTTTGGGCGCCATAACCAGCGTCATCATCTGGTTTATTTACATCTTAAAACAAAGTGTTCTCGTGAGCATAGCTAATGAGATTTACCGAGTGAACAATGATCTAAAAAGGTGCAAGCACTATAAACTGAAGACCAATTACTTTCCTTATTTTATTTTTATCGGAAATTTTATTCTGTGCTTTTTTATAATGCTAGTTGGAATAGTCACTCATCAATATGTATCAGTTCCATTTTGGAGCACACCGTGTATTTTGATTAGTTGGGTTATAATCCAGTACACAATAACACTGATTGTAATCAACCAAAATATTGCTTGTTTAAATGAAATGCTTCTAAAGCTGGGAAATGTCGATACTAAGATTAAATTTCAGAAATTATTTGTTACTAAATTTCCTCTTCGTGAAGCAATCATTCTAGATATAATGAACATTAATCATGCTAACAAGAAACTGTGCAAAATATGCAATGATGTCGCTAATTTCTTCACAATTCCTATTTTATCGGCAATTATATATTTTGCTATGACGACCATTTACGAGTTACGCTATCTGTTTTTGTCGATTACTAATAAAAGTTATGGAACAATACCTCCATTTTTGATACACCTAGATAGTGTTTCTTGGTTTATGATAGTACTTTTTGATCTCACTGCGTTTACTTCCAGTGTTACTAGTACTTCTCGAGAGGTGAGTGATTTAATTGAAGCTAATTTACTAATCAAGACACTATAATTTGTTTTTATAGTTCAAAAAGACGGCACTTTATATTCATTTGCTGTTAGATCGATGCACCATGGATTTGATAACGGAAAAAACGGTACTTTTACACTAATTTTATGAGAATATTATTGTAAAAAAAAAGATTTTTGTTACAGTTGATTGAATTTTCACGAGATCTATTGCACAGAAATGTTGAATTCACCGCTTTTCATATTACTGTACTTGATGGTTCTCTTCTGCATTCAGTGAGTTGGTCGAATTATCAAAAGAAGCGATTCAATATCATTATTTTAATAATTCAATATAAAATTTATTGATTTCAGTTTTTTGGTACAATAGTAACCTACTTGATTATTCTTACTCAATTTCGTGTTCGATGAATTAATTCAACTTTTCAATAGGATTGTCCGTCATTACCAAGAAAATAATTCCAAATAAATTTATTTTCTGTAAATATTATGAAATATGAGAATATCAATTGTAAACCGACTAGATTAGAACTCTGTAAATTAATAATGAATGATGCTCAAATGTCATTTTCAAAATAAAAACTAAATAAATTTACAATATATTAATCATACTCAATCGTTTTTGCATCCATTATCTATAACCCTACTAAAGAATATTTATTATGAATAAAATTATTTAATTATTTTACTACCGTATAAAAATAATTTATAATTCATAATGTTACACTCCATTAATTTAGTTATCTTAACCAGTGATTGAAATCTTGCGATTCCATAGTACGATAATGCCACAGAATTTGATGCATTGCTCACATAAAATTGCCAATGCTAGAAAATGAATATAGTCCGATCACGTCACTTTTAACCTTAGCACAGCAATGGATCAAAAGTTCTATCAAAAACGTAGTTCTCGTAACTACAGCTCACATTTGAAGTTATACACTTTTTTATTGATTTTCAAAATTCTTGGATTAGCACCTTTTGCAATAAATATTTCAAAAGTTTTGAAAAGTAACATCAACAGAAACATTTCTTACCCATGCAAAGTTTCAAAATACGGATTTTTTTACAACGCTTTATTAATTTTCACTTTGAGCGCTTATATAATTATGCTTATGTACAAAGACATGTTCATTCCAAATTACGTAAGTTCAAATTCATTGAAAATAGTTGTAACAAACTCAAGGTTTTTTGGAACAACTGGTGTAATTATTATCTGGTTTGTTTACATATATTATCAAAAAACGGTTGTTAAAATTGCGAATGATCTGTATACCGTCGATACTAATCTAGAAATTTGTAAATATTATTCACTAATTAATGACTCTCATGCCTACTATATAATAATTGCAAACTCTATTTTTTCTGGAGGTCTATTATTACTCAATTTAGCTTTATACCATTCACTTGTGATGCCTCTATGGATAGTTCCGTGCACTATCAGCAGTTATGTTTTGGCTCAATATGCTTTATTTTTGAACATTATAACTCAAAGGTTCAACAGCATCAACAAAACAATCCTTAAGTTTGGTAATATGGACTCAGATGATGAACTAAGCACTATATTCACTGATAAAATTACTCTTTGCAAGCCAATTGTCAATGACATTGAAAACGTAAATCATGCCAATTTGGAACTGTGTAATATTTGTAATAAAATGGCGGATTTTTATACATTTCCGATGTTGATAACAGTCATTTATTTCATGATACTATCTATGATGAATTTGTACTTTCTGATTGGGGCAACTATTACCCAAAGTGACGAGCTAACGCTTTTTGATGCGATCGAAAGTGGCGCTACGGTTTTAGTTGCTGTGAATTGTTTCGTTGCGTTAAATATCAACGTCGTCAGGGTTGAAAGTGAAGTAAGTATTCTCATACGTACGAAGTACACTTCAAAAACCATGAATTTGATCATAACATTTTCTTACTCTGTTTGATTTAGCTTGAAGAAACAGCTTCCTGCGTTCATTTACTCATGGACAGATGTCTTCTGAACCAAGAAGTGGAAAAATCGGTATTTTTATAAGAATTTTGAAAAGCTGTGATACGAAAATTGTAAAATAAAATTCGTGATTTTTGCAGTTGATCAAATTCTCATGGGATCTTTTGCATAGAAATCTCGGACTAAGTAATTACAGGATAATTGAGTTAAATGGTTCTTTCATATCATCGGTTTGTATTAGTAACTTTTCATTATTTATTGTATTATAAAATGATATACTAAAAGCGAAGATAAATTTACAATTTTTAGGTTTTTGGTACCATTGTTACGAACCTCATTTTACTGTTTCAATTTCGTCCTTCATGAATAATGGATCAAGAACTCAGAAATATAGTCTCATTATCAATTATTACATTAAATATATATTCATATTTATAAACTAAAACTTAAAATAGCCGATTTTAAATTATAATTTTATGATTAAAGAATTCTTAATCCAGATTTTCAAAAAAAACTATTTATTTGGAAGGAACTTTTTGCATCGTTTCGTAAATCTTCAAAAAATATACAACTTTTTGTGATAATAAAAATTATACGTAGTTTTTTCTGCGTTCTCATGTATTACATTACTTTTCAATATTTCTAATGTAAGTAATGAAATTATACTTGATAGAAATAGAGTCCTGGAATTGAGAAAGACTAGATTTTTCCAATCAATAGTTGAATTTCAAAGTTGACTTATTATTCTCTATGGCAACCGTACATGTGTGTGCAATTTTGTATTCCATAACGCACTTATACATGATTAGCTTGATGACGTGCATCGAGGACATCCTCTTGTAAATGGACACGTATCCTCAACGACTGATGTGGTGAAGTGGGAACTTCATTTCACTCTTGTACAGAGTCAGTTACGAGCAAACAACTTAACTGAACAGGGGTAACTAGCGTGACCATTTTTTTTATGATGACAAGTACTTATTTGAACGTTTTTCAACATTGACAATAATGAAGGGGATGAAATTCTGGAGGGAGATTATTCTGTGTTTTTTGTTCGTAAGTGTAATTCAGTGCAATATGATATCAATTTACGACTCTTCAATACCGAAAAGCCCGGCTTATCACATCGACGCTGTAAGTTTTTTCTATATGATAATTATTGATTAATTAATTAACCAATTTTGTTGTTTCAAAACAGCGGAAGCTGCTAGAATTGTGTTTTCTGAACGAAATGAACCCGGTGGTGATTTCTGAGGAGCTGACGGACTTGATGTACGAGATTCAAAAGAATGAAGCTATCGATTCGTCCATTCTTGTTATTGACAACGATTTCAGTTCAAGGGTCATGAAACAGTACTACACACGACATCCTAGTTATCTGATAACGGCCGATTTAATGGACAGACTGCAGGATACCCTTCGGAAAGCGAAATCATCGACCATTTGGAACCCAGCGTCAGTAATTGTTGCTGTTGGAAAAGATTGCGTTCGAGCATCAGAAATTCTTCAGGCGATCTGGAAGATCGAGGCTTTGAAATCTTATTACGTTTGTCAGCATGAGTTGATGAGTGAAAGCCTCGTCTATACCTTCAACCCTTATACGCAAAGGGCGCCAAAACAGTGGGAACAGGTGGAAACAGAGGATCAACCAGATAATAAATGGACGCTCTATCGGCAACACCTTAAAAATGGTAAGTCATGTCAAAATAATCTGCGAAAGTGTAACTTCGAAAACATTAATTTTTAACTATTTTGTCTTTACATTCTTTACATTTTTTCGCAGACCAACGCATCTGTTCCGGTGTAACATTCGACAAAACTCGTTCTCTGGATGGATATCCTCTGAAAAGTTTTAAGTATGGCCTCAGCGATAAAGTTTTCGAAGGTAAAGTTTCACCCGAGGCATTTTTCGAACAAGAAGTAACTGAACATTTTATTTACAACGAACTGTTTACGACTCTAAATGTCACACCGATTATTTATTTAAGAAATATAAATCATGCTGATTTCGAGCGAGAATTCAATTTACTAATAAACGGTACGTACGATATGAAGTTAGAAATTATAGAGGACCCGAGTGACGAAGGTTTTAAACTCTTAGATATCATTCCTATTTATGCTCAAGGCAGTTGCATGATAGTAACAAAAAAACAAAGTACAATTCCAGCTTTCACTCAAATGACAAACAATTCCTTTGCTTATGAAACTTTATCACTATCAGCATTATTTTTACTTTTTATATTCGTAATGATTTTGCTAAACTCTCGGTACCATTTTGCAGCAGCACTAATAGATCTTTGGTTACTTATTCTTGGCATGGGGATATTAACTCCCATGAATCGGTTATTGACACGGATTACTTTTTTGAGCGCAACGTTATTTATTTTTGTTGTCGGCCCGGAGCTTCAGAGTCAGTTTACCTCAGTGATGACCATTCCGAGCGTAGAAAAAAATATCGATACTTTAGATGAATTGCACAATAATCGTTATAATGTGTATTATTTCGAATACACTACGGAAAACTTCAAACATATAAAAATTTGGGAAAATGGGACGCGCAATAAGTTCTTACATTTGATACTTGATTTTGAATCTTGCACTAAAAATCTCCAGGAGAATTCAGCTGCTTGCATAATACCCGACTATCTGCTCGAAAATATTAAGATTGGTGATCTTTACATATCGAAAGAGTCTTTATTTAAAAGCTATTATTGGCTGACAACACGGAAAAATTTTCCGCTAAAAAGCAAAATCGATAAAACTGCGTTGAATTTTGTTGAGGCTGGTTTTTTGAACTATTTTGAGAGAAAAAATCGACTGAAGCGCCAGTTAAAGATGCAAAAACTAATTGATAGAATTGAGGCTTATGAGCAATGCGAATTTTTAGATTTACCTGACTTTTCATCTTTTTTGTGGTGTCTCACGATCGTTGTACTCGTTGCACTTACCGTCTTGTTGATCGAATTAGTATGTAGAGGCAGAAAGTATAGAAGAAAGCAATTGCAAAAATTGAAAAAGAAAAAACAGAGAGTTCGTCAGAGAATTGCGCCCCTCTTTAGATAAATAACAACGTATAACCGCAATAGTAATATTACATTTGCACAGGTATGATTTATCTTGAGATTATTATTTCTTATGACTTGTATGTTGCGTGAGTAGTTTATTTTTTACACACATGTATTATCGATTGGCGAGTAGCGTGTTTGACTAATTTATCGTTACTAAATGACACTTTAAATTTATCCGTCTCAATTCTATAAAAACATTCTTTTGTATTTTTGCAATAAACAATACAAAGATCACACGACTTTGCGCGCAAGTAGCATAAATCAATAGTTGATCAGTACCCTGATCAGGTTTTTAGTGGTTTTCCGAAGCAAATAAAATGAATCTGTTTATTAAAAAAAATGTGAGACAATAATTTTTATTGTATTTAAATTATCTTTATTTCTTTTATTTATTCGACGTTATTTCTTAAGATTATTGATATTGATTGTAAAAACAAAAATAAATATTTTTTAATATCCTTCTTTAATTGACAATTGTTATTAATTCAATAGTAATATACCTTCCGATTTTTTAATTTAAGTTAAATACATATAGGTTTAAAAGCCAATCTAATTAATCATTTAATCATTTTGCAGAAAGCACAGTTGTTAATTTTATAAATAATATTTTTTATAAATTCAAATCTAACAATTATTTCTCAATTTTAATTTATTAAGAATAAAATAAAATAATTATATCAATTTTTAAAATTAATGCAAAGTCTCCAATTGTTATCGCGCATGGTAAGTAATTTTAAGACTTTCTATAATTCATTCAATAAATTAAAAAACAATCAATTTAAAATACTAACAATTACTTTAAATGGATAATTGAAAAAGTCATTAATGTGACATGTGCCATAAAGATAAACAATATTAATTGATTGTTTCTAAATACCATCATAATTGCTCATTTTTTCACATTTATGTCGCATCGTCTGTACATTGAATTATATTAAGATTTTTTAATTAATAAATTCAAATTACAATTAGAATTTATTAGTATGGATCAAAAAAGCAATAAACTACCTCTGTTAATCATAAGTATCGTAATTTATTGTATCGTTGTGACTTTCAAGCTATTAGGATTAGCACCATGGAGCGTAAACATTTCTAATATTTTTGACTCTAATAATAACGGAATTAAAAATAAATATCCATTTGAATTTTCCAACTACGGGCTTCTATATAATGCCTTGTTGATAATATTGTTGGTAGGATGCTCTGCAGTGTTGTATTCATCATCAGAATGGGCAACAATTTATACATATGCATCGGCAATGATGCTATTTCAAGTAATTATAATCATCAGCGGAAGTTTTGTCTGTGTTTTCACCTGGTTTTATTGTATCTTGCGTCAGAATGATTTCGTTAATTACGCTAACGAACTTAACAGTGTTAACAAAAATTTACGACGATCCAAATATTGTGAACTAAAGAACAATAACATCATTAACATTTCATACTTTGGAAACTTAATTTTATGCTCGTTAATAATGATTATGGGGATCATAGCTTATCCATTCAATATAATAGTATTATGGTACACACCAATATTACTTCTGAGTTGGGTATTAATACAACACACCCTTATACTATCGATAATCTTCCAACAAAACATATCGAATGCATTAATAACATTATTCTTAAAATGGGAAGACTAGATACTGAAATGGAAATTCAGACGCTTAGCACTCCTCGGGTTCCTCTTCATGAATCAATAATTGCGGACATTATGGACATCATTAATTACAACCATAGAAAGCTCTTTGAAATTTCTAAAAAATTCTCAAGTTATTTTGCTGTTTCAACTATAGTCGCTGTTATTTATTTCGCAGCATCAATGATTATAGAATTACGCTACTTTATTTTAGTAGTGAATCACAAAATCAATTCCTCGGTATCCCGCGAGTTTCTTCTTGCCGACATTAGCTTATGGTTACTTTTAATAATTTTTAATTTGGTTGCTTTGATATTCATATAATTATAATTTCGACGTTCTAATTAGCAAATTGTCTAACTCAATTTGAGAAAATCTTCCATTATTATGATAAAATAATTAGTTCAAAATTTATTATCACTTTAAAAAACAACTTAATATCTAATAAAAGTACAGTAGCGCTCAAAAGTATTTTGACAATATTAGTTTTTTTCAACAATGTCAAAATACTTTTGAGCAAACATTTTTCTAATATTTAAAAAATTGAACTTTCTTTTATTACAAACAAACACCCACTATTCTGTAAATTATTTAAAAGCTGTTAAAAAATAAATAAATGATTAATGTGTTTCATATTTATTTTTAATTAAACCATGAAATATATTTGTCAAAATACTTTTGAGCGCTACTGTATAATATTTTGGTTTGGATCATTCAAATAATTTATAATTAGACTATTGCTACATTAAAATGTTCAAAAATTACTCTCTAAAAAATGAGTTAGACCAATTGCTAATTATCTTCAAAAAAATCTTCAATAAATTTGATCAAAATTTTTTTTCAGTCCAAAAAAACAGCAGGCTACATTCATCTGTTACTCTATCGATGCACTAAAAGTTCAAAAATTGAACAAGTGGTAATCTTTTTATTCTTGATCATTAATTACAAATTTATCAACTATTTTTAAAACAATTTTTCTGCAGTTAATAGAATTATCACACGATTTCTTACACAGAAATTTTGAATTCACCGCTCATCAAATCATTGATCTAGATGGATCTCTTTTGCACTCCGTAAATATGGCAGCTTCATATTTCATATTTTATCATATTATAACTCACATAATAATAATAATGATAATAATTCAAAATTTTAGGTTTTTGGTTCAGTTGTGATATATGTAATCATTCTCACCCAATTCCGTCTTCAATAACACCTCAGTTATAATATATGTAATCATTGTCACCCAAGTCCGTCTTCAATAACACCTGCTCAGTAATCAATACAACGCCCTTTACATATTTATCCCAAGAATTAAAACGATTAACGTCACGGCAAAATAAATTATTTTAACGCTAATTTAATTAATCAGGTTAAGTAATATAGATCCATATCTCCGATCGATTTTTATAAAATGTATCATCCAGTTACACCGCAATTCATCACACTACAACCAGTCATGGATCAAAAGCTGTTTTACAAGCGCAACAATTCTCAAACACCTTCGCTCTCATTATACCAGCGAATAATCGTAAACTGCTATATATTTACTTTCAAAATTTTGGGATTGGCGCCTTGGAAAGTGGAGATCTCAAAAATCACAATAGGTGATCTGGGAAATCCACACAAAGTTTCAACCTATGGATACATCTACAATATTTTTCTAATTTTGTCATTATGTGTTTACCTAATATTAATCTATGTCTTAGACATACCAATTTTCGAAAGCATGGATACGATTGCATCGAAAATAATCTGTTATTGTATTTTGGGATTTGGACTACTGAGTGTCAAAATTATATGGCTGATTTACATTTTCTATCAAAAAGACATCGTTAATATTGCAAACGATTTGCACATCCTGGACAATAACATCAAAAAATGCAAATTTTACTCACCGGAAAAGGACTATCTTATGTACTTAGTATTCATTGGCAACTTCGTTATTTGCAATGGCGTATTTTTATTTGAATTTTTTTTATACTTTTCGATTACACAGCCATTGTGGGCAATTCCTTATGTAATTAGCAGCTGGACTTTGACTCAGTACACGCTTTTTTTGGACAGCATTCTTCTACGATTTCGAAATTTGAACAACATGATTCTGAAACTTGGAAATATCAATACTGAATTTGAGTTCGATTCGATTCATGTTCCAAGAGTTACTGTCAGTGAATCGACAATTATCAATGCTGTGCAGATGATTAATTATAACCACACAAGCCTATGTGAAATCAGCAGAAAAGTTGCCGAATTTTACGCACTTCCTACCTTAGTAGCAATTCTCTATTTCGTGGCAACTGCTACGTATAATTTGTACTACATATTAAAACCGTTTGTTACGAATAACAAATACGAAGAGTTTTCAATTTTCGTTTACATCGAAACCAGTTCAACGTTTTTGATGACGTTTTTTGACTTTCTTGCACTGATTACAAATACCATCAGAATTTCGAGAGAAGTACTTACAATTTTACTAATTTTTACTCAATTTAAGTGACAAATTTTTTATTTTATTCAGGTTAAAAATATCGCTTTAAGCGTTCATTTACTTTTGGACCGATGTAAGGAATATCCTAGAGTTAGAAACACGGTAATTTTCTTCTACTTACTTTTAATTATTAATTCTCTTTGCAAGAATCGCAATTTTATAATTCAACATTAATTTTAACAATAATTAAAGATAACAATTTTTACAGCTGATTGAATTCTCATGTAATCTCTTACATACAGATGTTAAATTTACTGTCTACAGAATTGTTGACTTGGATGGTTTTCTTTTACACTCAGTAATTATAAAAATGTTAATTATTAATATCGCTGATTAGAAGAAAGGATTTGAAACAATTTCTGATAATTTGAATTTAAATTGCTACAATTTGTCTTAAAATTTACAATCCGAAATCGTTTCAAATTTTTTTTTATAATCAGAAATTGCTATAATAGAGATTATTATAAATTTTAATATTAACTTTTAGATTGCTGGTACAATTGTGACGTATCTTCTTATTCTTGTACAATTTCGGCTGATATAAATTTCATTTATAGTTAAAAAAAAAAAAATTCCCAATATTCTTCGGATTGAAATGATGTTAAGAAGTTAAGAAATATTAATGAAGATGCATGAATTGCAATATGAATTTATTAATAAATAAATAAAAAAATAACCATACATTTGTTTTTAACAATTTATTTGAATCAAGCTAAATAAAATTTTTAAAAAATAAATTAAGAAAAACACAATAACAACAGTTCCTTAATCATCTTTAAGTCAGTTTCAATAATTTTATCAGTTGTTGTCTCCTTGTAAAAATTCAAGATTGATTGCAATATCTTCATGTCAAAACATCTATGAACGAATGAGATTTTATCAGATGAGACTCATACCTGTAATTAACAGTTTATAGATCATAATCTAATAATAATTATTATTACATGTATCGGTGTTTTCTCGCTGACAAAGGCGAAGATAATAACACTATATTATGCTCAATAAAGATTTGTATTACGTATAATAATCCGTGTTAGTAAACTATATTTATGTAAAATCAAGTATTCAGAGAACAAAAAAAGTTATTGACGATAGTAGCACGATAATTATTACAATGTGTTGTGACATTTTTAAAGATATAAGCTCATCCCGATGTAATACTCATCAAGATCTTTCATTTGAATGCCCACATCAATTTTTCATATATTTTATATATGGGGCATTCCACGCCAAATCGACCACTTTTGACCCTGACCCCTTTTGATTTGGCTGAAAGATGTGAGTACTCAAATGAAAGCTCTTGATGAGTGTAACATCAGGATGAGCTTATATCTTTAAAAACGGCAATATTTAAGAAAGTACAGTGCAATTTAACCAAAGTAATTATTTAATAAAGCAAAATTTTATTTATTTATAGTTCACAAGTGACTGCAAGGTTGCTAGTTAATGAATAAAAATACAAACCTATAGAGTACGTAATGCTGGAAAATGAGAAACGCGTCAAACAAAGTTGAAATTAAACCAAGCGCGAATTTCGTGATGTCGCCGTAAATACTTTCCCAGTCATCTAAAAAAATTATAAAGAAAAATCTTTATCAAGTTTAATTGATTAAAAAAAAATTATATTAAAAGAAATAATTACTGTAATTGTAAGAGTTCAATATCATTTGAAGCATAGAGAGAATTCCACCGATAATATCCAAAAGAGTAGTGGCAATACTCCAACCAGATGTGGATTTTCTCACACAATTAGAGTATGTTTGCGGTATATATTTGATTATTGTTATAACTAGCTTTATATAGCTACATAAATAGAAAAAATCAAGCCACAGAATTACTTTTCCGATAGATAATGCAAATGAAACTACTGCGAGTATTCCAAATATACCGTTGAGTATTTTCGCAGTTATAGAAACTCTTTGCGAGCCAATCTACGAAAATTCTGTATCATTTATTCTTATTATTTTTATTATTAGTAATTATTATTATTAATTTATATACTTAATCTAAGCTTAGTAGTCTCTTCTATTCACCTCATAAATAAAACATTGTCCCATAATTATTAAATTTGCTACAACAGCATTAATTGAAAAAAAAACATCATTGAATAGTACTGGGATCAAACTTCTTGGATATCGTTCGGAATATTGTCTCTGAAATAATATTTTCATTAGCATTGTTATTGCTTTTTTTTTTTTTTTTTTTTTTTTTTTTTTTTATAGACTTACGTACTTCGATTTCTGGTATCCAATAAAGCCCGCAGTTGAATATGGCGTACATAACAAATCCGACAATATTGAGCGCTAAAAAATCGAAACTAAATCCTACTATACTTTTTCGCTTGATATTTTCGTATACTTGAGGGTAAAAACTTATGGTCCATGTTAGGAAGTAGATCCAACCGACAACTTCGCTTAAGTAAAATAAAAATATCGATTTTTCTATTGTTACCACGACAAACGCACTAGAAACACTGGAAAATAAATTAAAAGAGTTCATTAGAGGTTGCTTATTTTGATAAAAAATTAATTAAAACTTTTCAAGTGTTTAAATGAAATATTTTATCGCGTACATGCTTGGTTCTATCATTGAGCATGAATATTACGTGATAAAGATTATTATTAGAATTTACAGGAGTAAAGAATGATCTTAAAGAAATTTATTTGAATTACAAAAGCAGTATGATAATTCAAAATAGTTTTTTTGATATTTTCGTGAATTTTAGACTGATAAGTAAGGATATAATTAATTTAGAAATGACCTTTTATCTTGTGAATTATTGACATTTTTAAAGATATAAGCTCATCCCGATGTTACACTCATCAAGATCTTTCATTTAAGTACCCACATGCATTTTGATATATTTTTCATATATTCATATATATA